TGGAGAACGTCTTGGAGGCCTCTTGGGCCATCTTGGAGGCATCTTGGGGCCATCTTGGCCGTCTTGGAGGGCATCTTGGGCCGTCTTGGAGGCATCTTGGAGCCATCTTACCCGTCTTGGAGGCCATCTTGGCCGTCTGGGAGGCATCTTGGAGGCCATCTTGGGCCATCTTGGCCGTCTTGGAGGCCATCTTGGGCCAAGTTGGGGCAACAAAGGCATTGACAGACGGATTTTGGGAAAATTACGGGTGGCCGGCGGGACGGGCCGAAGCCCACTGGGGAGTTCTTTTAGAAAAAGAACCAAAACCAAAACCTGAAACATCCAGCACGCCGTGCACCCTTGTGGCAAGACCACAGGGGGCGGCGGATACTGGCCTTCGGCCCATCTCGCCACCGTGCCTGGGTTGTGGGTCATAGGCCTGTAGGATGTTCGTTGGGATGCCGCGGGGGGCCTCTCGAGGGCCTCGTGGAGGCAGTTTTGACGCCTCTTTGGGGCCAAAAGAACTCTCCCAGTGGGTTTCGGCCCGTCCCGCCGGCCGCCCCCAACCCGCAAGACGCACACGCCATCGCCCAATCCCAATTCTTCCTCCAAGACGGCCCAACATGGCCTCCAGGATGGTCACGTTGGCCCAAGATGGCCTCCAAGATGGTCCAAGATGGCCTCCAAGTCCACCCAAGATGGTCCAAGACGGCCTCCGAGACGGCCCAAGAGGGTCCAAAATACCTCCAAGTTCGCCCAAGAAGCCTCCGAGACGGCCCAAGCCGGCCCAAGAGGCCTCCAAGAGGTTCTCCAGGAGGGCCCGAAGAGGCCAACATCGTCCACTTTACGATGGTTTTGGAAGGAGTTTGGTTTTTTGTCTTTTCGGCTTCCCGACGCCCAAGACAGCCCAGGAGGCCCCCAAGAGCGCCCCAAGACGGCCCAAGAGGCCTCTAGAAGCGCCCCAAGACGGTCTTCGATTCCGCCGCCCCCTGTCGATTCATCGCAGGGGTGCCTGTCGTGCTAGACCCTTTCGGTTTTGGTTTTGGTTCTTTTTCCCAAAAGAACTCCCCCTGGGGCTTCGGCCCGTCCCGCCGGCCACCCAGAAAGATCTTCTAGGACCTCAATCCCCCAATGTTTCGCTCAAGATGGCCCAAGATGGCCTCCAAGATGCCTCCAAGACGGCCAAGATGGCCTCCAAGACGGCTAAGATGGCCCCCGAATGTTTCCAAGACGACCCAAGATGCACCCAAGGCGGCCTGAGATGGCCTCAAGATGGCCGAAGACAGTCCAAGACAGCCCAGGAGGCCTCAAAGAGGTCCTCCAGCAAGGCCCGAAGATGCCAAAATCACTGAGTTTCCCTAGGTTTTTGAAGGATTTTGGCATGTTCGCCTTTCCGGCCTTTCGACGGCCCACGAGGCCCCCAAGATCGCCCAAGAGGTCTCCAAGATGGCCCCATGGCGGCCCAAGAGGCCCCCAGGATGCCCCCAAGAGGGCCCAAGGGGCCTTCAAGACGGCCACAATGGCCTCCAAGACGGCGAAGATGGCCCCAAGATGCCTCCAACACGGCCCAAGATGCACGTAAGACGGCCTAAGATGGCCTCAGCACGGCCCAAGATGCACGTAAGACGGCCTAAGATGGCCTCAAGATGGCCCAAGTCGGCCCACGAGGCCCCCAGAAGGCCTCCAAGACGGCCCAAGAGGCCTCCAAGAGGTCCTCCTGGAGGGCCCGAAGATGCCAAAACCATTGACTTTCCGTAGGTGATTGTTTTGGCATTTCTTTCTTTTCGGCAGTCCGACGGCTCAAGACGGCCCAAGAGGCCCCCAAGGTCGCCCACGAGGCCTCCAAGATGGCCCCATGACGGTCCAAGATGCCACCAAGACGGCCCCAAGAGGGCCCAAGAGGCCTCGAAGACGACCAAAATGGCCTCCAAGACGGCGAAGATGGCTCCAAGATGCCTCCAGCACGGCCCAAGATGCACCCAAGACGGCCTAAGATGGCCTCAAGATGGCCCAAGTCGGCCCAACAGGCCCCCAAGAGGCCCCCAAGACGGCCCGAGAGGCCTCCAAGAGATCCTCCCAGAGGACCCGGAGAGGCCAAAACCATTGATTTTCCGTAGGTGATTGTTTTGGCATTTCCCTCTTTTCGGCATTCCGACGGCTCAAGACGGCCCAAGAGGCCCCCAAGGTCGCCCAGAGGCCGCCAAGACGGCCCCAAGAGGGCCCAAGAGGCCTCGAAGACGACCAAAATGGCCTCCAAAACGGCGAAGATGGCCCCAAGATGCCTCCAACACGGCCCAAGATGCACCCAAGACGGCCTAAGATGGCCTCAAGTCGGCCCAAGAGGCCCCCAAGAGGCCTCCAAGACGGCCCCAAAGGCGTCCAGGAGGTCTTCCAGGAGGGCACGAAGAGACCAAAAGCATTGATTGTCCTACGGTTTTTAAAGATTGTGGCATTTGCTCTGGTTCGGCATTCGGACGGCTCAAGACGGCCCAAGAGGCCCCCAAGATCGCCTAAGAGGCCTCCAAGATGGCCCCATGAAGGCTCAAAAGGCCCTCAAGAGGGCCCCAAGAGGGCCCCCAAATGGCCCAAGAGGCCACCAAGACGCCCAAGGTGGCCTCTAAGAACCCCTGATATGCCCTAAGAGGGCCCCAAGACGACCCAGACAGGCCCCCAAGACGGCTTCCGACGGCGTCAGACAAGCCAGGAACGCCCTAAGACAGCCAAAGAGGTCCCCAAGAAGCCCCCGAAGACTGCCAAAAAGCCTCCAAGAGGCCCCCAGGAAGCTCCCAGGAGGCCCCAAGAGTGCCCCAAGAGGCGCCCAAGAGGCCTCCTCCTCCTCCTCCTCCTCCTCCTTTTCCTCATCCTCCCCCTCCTCCTGCTCTTGCTCCCCCATGCGTTCGTTCCCCGAAGTCTTTCCAAATCGACTCGGGGAACAACTGGCCCGACAGCTTGGCCAAGCTCTGGCCCAGCTGTCGGCCACAGAGGCGCTTCCAAAGGGGCAGGGGGCGGCGGTGATTCGCCGTAGGCGTCTTCCCTTTTGTGAGGCCGGGCCGCCTGTATTGCGCCTGCTGTTGGGTTCGGTGTAGTCCCCTTAGTGGGCATCCTGGACATCCTTGTAGCCTGTAGCCCTCTGACCTCTAACCCCGAGCAATCTTATCATAAGCACGTCATGCAGTGTTCTCGCCTTCGAGCTGGCAATTTGTTTGTTCTTCGCCTTTGTCGCGGAGGCTTGCGGCAAGCGGGCGGTCCCAGCACAACCCGTCGGCGCCCACCGCGTCCCGCTCGTCGCCGGACACCTCCTGCAGGGCGACACGGGGAGCGGAGCGCGAGAGCACCGGAGCTGGCCTGGCTCGCGGCCAGCAGTCGGGCACACCACGCTGACATGGATTCGGGGTCCGCGGATCTGGCGCCTGGGCTCCAGATGCACGCATCGGGGAAACAGACCCTCCGAAACATGGAGGCAATACCGCTGATCCACGCGCCTTGCCTCTGGCTTGCGCTTCCTCGAGGCAGGTGGCGCACAAGTCCTGGAGAAGCGGCACGGCACGGCACGACGACGCCGACGATCGACGCGAGGCCAGAGCTTGCGCGTGTCCACCGCAGGGTGAGCGGACTTCCCTGGGCCCCAGGGGTCGGCGGACAGGGACACGCGTGGGCCACGTGGCGCCCGGGCGTACGTTTGTCCACCGCCTCCCGAGGTCCAGGAAGATCCTGGGCCAACAAACTTCGAACACCGCGACCCGCGATGCTGGACGTGCGGTTATCTTGACGCCACTGCAGGTGACCTGGACCTACTCGGAGGGAGCAGGGCGAATGAAGATAGCGGCAACCCAGCATCGTTCTCCGAACCCTTCCTGGGGTCCAAACGTACCTGTCCTCAAAGCTGCGTCCAGCCGTGGCGACGAGGGGGCCCCGCGAAGGCCAAGGACCGTTATGTCAACTCGCCCAGATCGGTCCCCGGGGCGGTGGAGACGGATGCAAACATTCCAGCCTCGTAGATCGACGACGCCATCGACACCACGACCAGACGCGAGGACATCTGCCCGCGAGGGGGAGCGGAGGAGGCAAGACCAGCCGGGCATCGAAACCAAACAGCAAATCGGGTCGGCATGTGCGTCGGATCGAGCCAGCTCGGGACCGAAAATCGAATCGGACCACCCGCGCCCGGACGCGCGACAACGCCATGCAAACATCGGGCCGCGTCTGGTCGTCGGAATACATCGGGCGTTGCCTCAGGCCAGAGGTGTCCCTAGCACAACGTGTACCAAGGATTTCTAGAGAAGCCCCAACGGCCACTGGAGCACCCGTCACGAGACCCAGAGGGCCTCATGGGCTCGAAATTGGCGCGAACGGCTCGGGGGGACATCGGGCATATCGGAATCGAACGAGACCAGGCCAGCAAGAATCGATGCGACAGCACCTAGGCCCCGATCGGCGATGAATGGGCGATCGGGGGATGATGTGTTCCCCTCTGGGCCAGACCCCCCCCGTGGTTGCCCATGATCCGAATGGTTGTCGGGTTACACATCGGCTCTCTGGCGGCCGCTCGGAACGATTCGGGCGCTCCCCGAACGCTCTCGACGAGGCAGAGCTGTTGGAAAGCATCCCGAGGCTGGAGAACCGCCGAGCACCGACGAACACATCCGAAACCCTCGATCCCCGAACCCGAAACTGGAACCTCGCAAGGCCAGCCCCCGTTGCCCTCGACCTGAAACACATGGCAGATTTCGAGGCTGGAATTTACGCATACTAGCCGCCTGGGAAATCGCAGTCCTGGGACCACAGGGGGTGGTGGATATGGATGCGGACATGAATGTGTATGTTGATGTGCATGTACATAAAATGCACACATGCGTACACATACACATATACATATACACATGCAGACATGATTACATACATACAGGCATACATACATACATACAAACATACATACGTACACACTCATACGTTTATTGCATACATACACACATACGCATGCAAACACATATATATATATATATATATATAAATATGTATATCGATGATTCCCCTCTTCTTCTTCTCTGCGCCAGATGCTCAGTCTCATAACGCACCAGTCTCGACCACAAGGAGGATTTCGGCACGAAGGGAGAACTCCACAACACAGGCACTGAAGTGACAGCTCTATTCCTCACCAACTCCTCCAGAGGTGGTTGACTATACTGGCGGCGGGGAGGGAGGCGGAGCCAGCAAACCACGGAAGCAGCAAGAGCAGGCCTGAAGGTGGGGGCCCCCTTTTGGATCCCCGGAAGCCTACAAATAACTGCCACGGCGTGCGTTTCAGGACCGAGGGATCATTCACCAGCAGGCTCACGATAATGATCCCCCTCTTCTTTCTCTCTGCGCCAGATGCTCAGTCTCATAACGCATCAGTCTCGACCACAAGGAGGATTTCGACACGAAAGGAGAACTTCACAACACAGGCACTGAAAACCAGCTCTATTCCTGACCAACTCCAAAATACTTTTCCCAAAGACGATACTGGTTTTCAGCCGATCCAATACTGGCGAAGCCGGGTAGATTGTTTATGGGCGAGCACGAGTTGGTATTGCCGAACAGTCTGTTCACACAAAGCCGAGGGGCATGCTTCCGCGAGGTGTGTGTTAAATACTCCATTCGTTTTTCCGGTCAGCTGCAAGTGAGGACGAAGGGTGGCCGAGCATATTCCTCGACCGGCGCACTTCCTCTGTCCAAGTTACAAGACAATGTTTTGATACGCTTGCGGTAGGAAGCACCATACTGGCGGAACCAACACGGTCGCCTGACAGTGTTCAGCAATAGGCAATAGCCTTCACGGGACTTGCTAGCCTTCATGGGACCTGGGGGTTCTCGAGAGCGATCTGGATACCCAAAGGACCACGCTGATGAACAAGCCGAGCCGAGAATCGCACCAAGGAATTACCAACGTCGACCTTGAACTGATCTTTTGGGGTCAGCCCTTGAAGACCAAGAATGCACGAATCACTTCTGGGAGCAGGCGGCCCAGGGGGGACATCTCTGGCCCGGGACCGCGAGTTACATGGGGTCCCGAGCCAGATAGCACATACTAAACCACCATTTATCCATCCACGGATCAATTGTTGATTTCTCCGTTTAGTCAAATCGTATTCTGGGCCCCACCGAACATCCCATTCGAAGATCGGCACTCCGTGCTCACGGAGCTGCTTCCTCCAGGCGCATGACAGCCGCCCGGGGCCTGAGAAAATCTCCAGCGCAACTGGCATCAGGAGGCGAGCGACCGGAGAGGATGTTGCCAATCTGCCTCTCCACGCGCGCGGCGAAGGCGAGCAGCCCGGCCGGCAGCTTGCCGATCTGCTCCGTGACCCGGCCGCCCTTGGTGCACCGCATCAGCGAGCGGTCGTCGCGCCACCAGCCCCTGGCCTTGATCTCTGCCAGCGCGCGGCGCCTGGCAGCCAGATCCGACGCCGCCCCGCCGTGCCGCAGCTGGTGCAACGTTGGCGGTCCCTCCAGGCCGAGGCGCACCCTGGCCGCGCGGTAGGCGGCCGCCAGCTGCGCGTACGAGAGGTGCGACACGGCGCCCTCGAGCCCGGCCTCGCCCTTCAGGATGCCGAGGACCGGGGCGAGGAACTGGAAGAAGGGCAGGTCCAGCAACAGGCTCTCGTCATGCTCCCCCGTCTTCGACGTGGTCTCGGCCTCCTGCGGGATCAACACCAGGCCCTACAGGTCGTGGCCTGGCAGCGCGAGCGGCGGCACCAGCTGCTTGCCGACGAGGCCGAGCAGCTCCACCGGCCTCGGGTAGAAACAAAACATCACCACCACGAGCCGCGCCGCGTGAAGGTTGCCGCGGAACGCCAGGTCGTTGGCGATGAGGCAGAGCACCTCCCAAGGCGTCGGCAGGCGGCACTTGGGAAGCGCCAGCCGCTTCCAGCCCCGAGGGCAGCGGGATAGCCGCGGCAGCGAGCGGTCGTGCACCAGGCGCGGCAGGAAGTACTTCAGCACGGCGCCGAGCTTCGAGCCCTCGTAGCTGTCGCCGCCCTCGAGGAACTGCTGGTGGCAACGCTCCACGGCCGCGCTGTCCACCTTGGCTGCGCTGCTGAGCGTCGCGCGCATCGCCGACGCGAACAGCTTGAACCCCTCGAAGACCCCCGCGTAGTCCCGCGGGCTGTGGGGGCCGACGCTCTCGCGCTCGAGGACCGCCAGCCCGCGGCTGTCCGGGCGCCTCGCCGGCCCCGGGAGGCGGGCCTCTCTGTTCGCCCTTCGAGCCTCGCGGGCCGCTCCGGCGGAGGCCCCCGCGAGCGCGGCGGCAGCGGCGGCGCGGGGCCGGCCCGGCGCCCGCCGAGCGCGGGAGGCCGCGCTGCCGCCCGGCGCCGCCGCCGGGCGTCGCAGAAGTGCCCGCGGTGGCGAGCCGGTCGCCGAGTCCTCCCGGGCCCTCTTGGACGGCCGCGCCAGGGGCCCCTTCGTCAGCACAGGGGCCGGCGCGGGCGGCGCCTGCTGGGGCCCGCGGAGGAGCGCCATCCCCGGCCAAGGCCGCGGCGAGGGCGCCCGCGGGGCCGGCCCAGCTCGTCTTGAGCCGAGCCGGCTGATGGCAACGCGACGGCTTGTCGGCGACGTTGAGCTCCGACCGTACCCAGCGGACTCGAGGATACATCTGGGAAGCGAAGATAGCGGCGCACCACTGGCGGCGCACTCGCATCAACATGGGCGAAGAGGAGCGTCCTTGATCCATGGCAAGCACCTCGGACATCGCATCCGTGATGAAGAGCTTGCGGGCGCCGTGGTTGGCCAGGCTCCTGCTGGCGCGCCTAGCCGCCCACGCAAGCGCCCGCCCCTCGAGCACGGGCATGGCCTCAAGTCTGGACCACTTGCCCGAGGAGACCGTCGCCCAGCCGCCGGCGAGCAGCTCCGGCCCCAGCTCGGGGACCACCACGCGGGGGGCAGCCTCGGAGTCGCCGCTCCAGCGACCGAGCTCCCACGGCTCGACCTCGCCGGCCTGGGCGGCGCCAGGCTGGCGCCACTGCGCCACGAGCCTTGGTTTCCAGCGTGGGTCTGTTACTATAGAGAGGGTCATGAACCAAACGTTCAAACACATGTTATGCCTATCTGTGCATATGCGGTCTGGCAAATCGGGGCGGCATCAACGCGACGCTAAGGGGCGCCCTGGACTCGAGCCTTTGGCCTGGAAGCACGAAGCGCACGATTGCCCACATCACGAAGTTCTGCAACGGGTCGCTGTGTTCTGGGGGGGGGCACGCACACGCAGAACACTGTTCAGCTAATCGTTAGCTGGCGCCCGCCTCAAACTCGTGCCCCACCCCCCGCCGCCTTCCAAGATCCCTTCGCTTAGGCCCCGCTCTCCTCATCATGCCCCTCCGAAAACCCCCGGTCCTCGCCATGCCCCCCATCCACATTGCCACCCCCCCATGTGCCAATTCATGTCGTTCCTCGTCGTCCTCCTCCGCCAGATTAGTTCCCCCTATCGTCCACATGCCTGCCCTCCTCCCATCCTCGACGCCCTAGTGCACATCATGCCCCCTCCATGTGCCCCTCCCCGCCCCCCTCGCCCATGTGATGCTGGCGCCGATGATGCAGCTCCTCCTGGGCCCGTTTCCCCCCCTCTCGCCCATTCCGGTTCATCCCTGGCCTCTTGGCCGCCCCTCCTATCGAACCCCATCCTTCCCACGGCCCACCATCCCCACCCCACCCCCGCGCCTTTGCATGCCCAGACTGCCCCCTGGTGGACCAGCTGAGAGACTCGCGGAAACTCCCGCCCCGTGACCACTCCGCCGAGCGCCGCGCGACAGATGCACAGTTGGAGACACGAACTGTGTATTTCGACTGCGCGCGACGCCCCCCCTGGACCAGCCGAACGAAAAACGCTGCAAGTTCCCGCCCAGTCAACGCCGCCAGCGAGGCGCACACTCCAAATACACAGATGGGAACGAGATCTGCGCACGCAGATCACACCACGATCTGTGTAACATGTGGGCCCACACACGAAAATACACAATCGAAGACACAAGCTGTGTGCACAGATCACACCTTGATCTGTGTATTCCTGAAAGGTAAACGCTCGCCACCTCGAGGGTGCCCCGACTTTGCCAACCCAGAACCGAAGTCGACGTGCCCATCTATGGGGGGATGCAAATACGCACTTCCCCGGCCCAGGGCGCCCCCGAGGGAGCTGCAAATGCGCGCTTCCCTGGCCCAGGGCGGCCGCGGTGAAGGGCGGCGCCAAAGCGACCCCCAACGGCCCGAAGATGCCCCGAAAAGGCCTCGGATGACCCCGAAGAGCGCCGCGCAGCAATCCGAAAACACGAGAGGTGTCGCATGCCATGGACCTCTTAACAGTCGAAGCCCCCCGCGTCGCCATACAGACCGCTGCTCCGGTAGAGGGGCGGGCCTTGCCGTAGGCGCCTACAATTTACATGTTAGCGATGCGACTGTGCTCGGCGGCCGTGCCGCCCGCGTTTGGAGTGCGCCCCGAACGCTCGCGTTGTCAATCGCCTCTGTTTGGTTGCTCCGCTGTGCTCGGATATCGAAGAGGCGATGCCACTGACGCAGGCGCGCGGCACCAGGGACTCCACTTTTCGAACATGGAGGGAAGACGAGGTAAGACGACGGACGGTGGAGCAGGGAAGCAAAGAGGAACAAGGAATAATGAGGGAGGCGATCAGGGGCGCCCCCCCGCCCGAGCCGCGGACGCCTTCGACGTCATCCAGGGGGGGGGGGGGAAGGGGGGGGAACGGAGCAAGGGCGAGGCCGACGACGGGAAGCAAACTGTCCTGGGTCCGCATATAGCCATACGATTGCAATTCGGGCGCGCGAGCTTTCTTCGAGGCGCTGCAAGCCCGACCCATACTGAATTCACGAATTCCTCCGAACTGTGTAAACAATCTGTCCTCTGTACCCCCTCCTATACAACTGCACCAGACCAGAGGGGCAGCGGATTCCAACACGAGCCGGGCCTCCTCCTTCATGGAAGCCCCCCGAGGGCGCAGCGCCGCCTCGCCCTCCTAGCCGAAGCGCCAGCGGTCGGAGAAGCGGCCGGCCGCCGCCGCGTCCTCACGAGCTCGGCGGCCGACGCAGACTCCTCGGCCCCACGGCGACGCGTCGGCGATGACCACCTCCTCGGACCACTGCGCGCCCAGGGGCCTCATCAAGAGAGGCAGGAGGCCGACGGCCCAGCGCAGCTCCCGCCGCACGGCCGGCCAGAGCCGGCGCCACTGCAGCGGCGATCGCTGGGCGAAGCTGCAGGCAGCCTGGAAGACGCACAGCGCCTCGCACCTAACGCGGGCGGCGAAGGTGTAGTGGCCGATGATCGACTCCAGCTCGCGCCCGCGCAGCCGCCACGCTCGATCAGCCCCTCGATCCCAAGCCGGATCTTCCAGACTCGGCGGCTGGAGAGGCGCACGGTGGGGCTGGTCTCGCCAAACGTCCAGCCCAGGCCCAGCTGGTTGAAGAGCTCCTCGACGCCGGCAGCCGCCCGCGTCACGTCCTCGGTGCGGTAGCCGAGGGCAGCAAGATTGTCAACGTACTCGGTGTGCACAAATTCGACCTGCGACAGCTGGCCCCCCGGGGCCCGGTCCCGCAGCAATTGTTGGAGTCAACGATGCCCGGCACCTGGTAGGCAACGCGCTCGTGGATGGTCTGGGCCCACCAGAGGGCACGGTTCCAGCCCATCGGCACCACCCGCAGGTGGGGGCAAACTGTAGTGCTAGGCGCCACTGGCTCCCCGTCGAGCTGCTTCAAGCCCACGGGCCGGCCGCGACGCCGTCGAGACAAAACTGGCTGACCAGCTCCGGCGGCATCAGCAGGTGGTAGAAGCAGTCCTTCAGGTCCACCTGGGCGATGCGCAGCGCCAGCCCGGAGTCGACCTCGAGGTTCCTGAAGGCGGTCCCCGTGGCCAGGGGGGCCGGGTCTGGCTCCGCGAAGCCGAGGTTCGCCACCCGCGCGTCGGCGATGAGGCGCTGCTTCCCCGACTTCTTCCACGCCGCGAACAACCCCGCGCAAGGGGCGCCGGTGCGACGCCACTCTATCATCCCCGCCCCGTTCACGCGGCCCAGCAGCCTGGCATAGCGCCGAGGCCGCCCACGGAGCGAGGGGTCCATGTGCGCGCGCTTGACCCGGCTGCTCCTCCTCCGCTCCTCGGCCAAGTCGATTGGGCGGACTTTCTGCTTGATGAACTCCTCGACTACCTTCGGACCGCCGGCGCCCAGCAGCACGTCCAGCCCCACGGGGGAGCTGTCCGCGGGCAGGGACAGGAGGTCAATGTCGAGGTCGGCGACTGCCACACGATCCCCCGAGTAACTGCGCCGTGCCAAGAGCTCCGCGAGGGCCCCTCGGCGGGCCACGTCGGCGGGCGGCCTCCCCACCTCCGCCACAGCGGCGCGGATGTGGGCCAGGCTCCTCTCCTGAGCCGCCGAGGCGCGAACAGACCGAGGGCAAGATCCCTGGGGGCCGGCGTCCAGGTCGTTGACCCAGAGGTTGAATAACTCTTGCTCTAAGAGTTAACATTTGTCTTGTTACATGCATCTTAGAGTAAGAATCTAGCTTGTTGCGTTTTCCTTCTTTTTTCATTCAGGTGGCGCGGACAGTCGATGGGTGGCGATTTATGTGATTTCGTATTAAATTTCAAGAACCCGCCCATGTTCTCGACTCGATGTCGAACTTATAAAGCGAAGACGTTCGGCGAAACAAAAAACTTATGACCGCGCGCGCATGAGCTTGTCAACGCGCGATGGTGGGAACTCCACTCAAAAGGACGAATAGCCCGAATAGCCCGCGGGGCGGGCGCGCCCAAACGGGGGGAACGGGGGAGCAGTTGCAAGGAGCTTAGGCTTTGCAGCGATTCCGAGGACACCCCTGGCCCCTGCGCCCCCGCCCGCAACCTTGGCACCCCGCGGGCGATGGCGAGTCGACTTAAGCCAAACGCGCGCGATGGCACCACGCGGCTCGATGCAAATGATCGCACCACCGTTGGATATTTCATACATAATGAATTGAACATTGGACGGCTCGATGCGCAGGATCCAGCCCGTTTTGAAAATGCCGCCCTCCATCCGAAAGCAGATCCGCCGCCCTCGCACCGCGTCTTCGCCCAACGGGGGGACTGGCGGGGCGGCGCAGGCTCCCTGCCCAGAAATGGCAAACGCGTTGCGCCATCCCTTCTTTTCCTCCCTTGGGCGACGACGACGGTCGACAGCCCGCCGAACTCGCGTCGGCCCGCGTGCTTTCCCTCGTTGCTACATGGGGCCGCGCTGCCATCATCATCGCCCAGCGTCGTCGCCCAGCGGGAGGGGCGCGGGCGGGCGGCGCGGGGAGGGCGTGACCCTGGGGTTCACGACCCGCCCTTCATTGGGCACCCCCCTTCCCGCCGCGCTCCACCCCCTGGTCGACGACGGCGGCCGATGACGAGGGCAGCTCGGAGGAGGAGATGGGAGCGGGGGGGGGGGGGGGCGCTGCCGCCAAGCCGTTTCACGCTCGAGGTGCCGACCGCCCGCGCGCTGCAGCGCCGCAGCCCCCCCGGCCTGGGATCCCATTCCCAGGCGTGACGCCTTTGCCAAGGTCCCGTTCGAGATCCCGCCCCCGCCCGTCGGCCGAGGCATTCCGCGATTACTGGGGCAGCGAGCCCCCGCCAGCCTTGGCCGAGCATGCAACGGATTGGGGCCGCGGCTGCGGATCATGGCGGGGGATGCCGAGGGAGGGCGCGGTGGAGGAGGAGGAGGGGGGGGGGGAAGGAGGAGAAGGGGGAGGAGGAGCAGGAGAACGAGGAGGATAAGGGGGAGGTGGACGAAGAGGATAAGGAGGAGGTGGACGAAGAGGATAACGACGACAAGGCGAAGCAAGAGGAGGAGGAAAAGGCAGAGGATGAGGGGGATGCGGAGGAGAAGGACGAGGAGGATAATAATAGAGAGGGCAGACGAGGGAGCGGGTGAAACAGGGTCATGCATACCACGTTGGGTGGCCGTCGAGGGATCATGGAAGAAACAATTCCGAAAGACAACGAGGAAGCTGAGGAGAGAAAGAGAGAGAAAGGGAGAGAGAGAGAGAGAGAGAGAGAGAGAGAGAGAGAGAGAGAGAGAGAGAGAGAGCGTGCGTGCGCGTGCGTGCGTGTTTTTAAA